ATCATAGGCATTGCGGTTACACTCGTTATTCATCAAATCTAGTTTTCACTTTTATCATGCATTTCTCTGGGATAAGTTGATGACAGCTTGCCAGACTGACAAGATATCATCTGATGTGTTAATGGGGCCCAATTTGGACAGTGACCTCAGTACTCAGCTTCTCAGACAGTATTGATGTGACCCCGGACACACGAAAATGGATAGCCCAGGCCCTAGACGCAGCTTTTGATAGCTAAATGTTCTGCAATTGAACCACATAGACACAGATTCGCTGTGGCCAGTCAAGACTCTGCAGTTGCTCTGGGATGTGCTCGGGTCCACATGGGGTGGAAAAAAGTACTGAGCATTTAGACAAAGGAGGAAAGCGATACTGACCATACAGGGCCTTGCCCGAGATTGGCCTCCTTGTTGGGACCTGCTTGCCTTGGGTGTCCACATATCTGCCTAGTTAGGTAACCTGCAGAAAACAGCAGTCTCTCCTCATAGTGGAGGATTAAGTTGTGTTGCTGGTTTGAAGAATCTTACTGATTACCCAAGGCAGTACACTGGAGCCCTAGGTGACCAGATTTCCAAGATTTCAGAGCTCAAGATACAGATGATCCAGTTCCAAGTGTGTGGACTTGATTTTTCTTTGATTCACTGGGCCTGGCAGGTCCTGGAGAGCCTTGGTCCAGTCTGCTACCAAGTGCCAAGGAGTAGAGCTAGTTTTTCCTGTTTCTTTGACACACAACATTTTTTTTCTTTATCTTAAATCCCTGATAGTAAAACTTGAACATTGGTGAACATAATGTGAAGAGAGGTTACGGAACAATGGATCCCTTTTTACTGTTTTTGATAGTTTTATGTTTGCAAGATGAACCATGTAGAGCACGTACGTTCAAGCAGCTCCAGCCCATGCGTGCACCCCAGTTACCTGGCACTGTTCTGCCAAAGGGTGATGGCATTCCGTTTGGCCAGTACTCGCCTTCACGGAAAGTTGCAAGAGATTGCGCTACTTCATGCTGAAGAGAGGCTGTTTAGTGATTTTTTTTTTCTTCACTAGCAGAAGCAGCTTTGTTCTAAAAGTGAATGAATATTGAACACTTAGGACTGGAGGGGCATTAGAACAGTCATTTTAACTGTAATTCTTATGTTTAAAAAAGCTAGTAGCATCTTGGAAGTTAAAATAGGTACAGGGCCCTCCCTGGTGGCACAACGGTTTAAAGCACAGCACTACGAAGCTAAAGCCACTTCAGCAAGAGTTCCATCCCTGGCCCCGGGAGGTGACCACATGGCACGGCAGACCTCTCATGACCCGCCCGCTGCTCCCCTCAGCAGTGTACTTTGTCAGTTCAGCCTGCTTTGCTCCCCACTCCGTCTCTGGTGAATCCTCTCACGGCCCCTGCACCTCTGGCTTGTACCCAGTTCTGTATGCATAAGTAAATAAATCTTTTAAAAAAAAAATAGGCCCAAATCAAATTTCTAGAGAGAAAAAATACAATGCCTGAGATGAAAAATACACTGGATGTAATTAAGGGCAGCTTAGGCATTGAAGACAAGATTCTTTAAGACATAACAATAGTGTTCAAATTTAAACAGAGAGACATAATTATTTTTTAAAAAGTAGAAAGCCCACCGGCCAGCAGTGGGTTAAACTCAAGTGGCCTGTATTATGTGTGTAATTGGAGAAGAAGGGTAATATAAAAAAGATTTGAAGAAATAATGGCTGAATACTTTTCATGTTTTATGGAGGTTATATATCTGCAGAGCCAGGAAATCAGTGAAGCCCAAGCACAAGAAACATGAAGATACTAAACCAAAGAACTTCATAATCTAAATTGTTCACAAAGTGACAAAGAGAAAATCTTAAAACAGCCAACAAAAAGACATGCAGATAAACAGACCTAAGGGTCACATTAGACTTACTGCCAGAAATCAGAAAAGCAAGAATACAGTGGAGCAACACCATAACAGTCCTGGGGTAATGGTTAGAGGTGCAGGACACACTCAGCACTGAGTCTATACTCATTGAAAATCTCCTTCAAAATTAAGGCCAAATAAAACCTATTTCAGTCACTCATTGCTAAAATAAATCATTGTCAGCTGAGTGGCACTGTAAGAAATCCCTTCAAGTGGAAGAGAGACAATGCCAGAAGGCAATATGAGTTTGTGCAAATGAGTGAGGAACACTAAAAAGCGTAACTCTATTGGTGACTATATAGCTTTTCCTTTATTATTTAAATGCCTATGAGAGAAAATTGACCATTTTAATAAAAATCATAACCATGCCTGGTGGCGCAGCGGGTTAAAGCACCGCACAGAGAAGCTTAAGCCACTTCCGCATGAGTTCGATTCCCGCCTGCCCCGGAGGAGTCCACATGGCACGGCAGACCTCTCCTGACCCCCCCTCTGCTCCCCTCAGCACTGTACTTCGTCGATCTGCCTGTTCTGCTCCCCACTCTGTCTCTGGTGAATCCTTTCATCCTCCGCATTTCTGGCCTGTACCCCAGTTCTGTATGAATAAATAATCTTAAAAAAAATCATAACCATGTAGGGTAGGATTTATAATCTGTGTAAAAGTAAGCTGTCTATAAGAGAACAAAGACTAGAAAGAGAGAAATAGAAGCGAGCAATTGTAAAGGTGTTACATGTGAAGTGGTATACTGCCGTTTGAAGTCGACTGTAGTACATTAACCCCAAACCAGCCCACTGAAAGGTATATTGAGAGACTTCAATACTCCTGTTTGAATAATGGATAGAACAAATAGAGAGATAATCAGTAAGACAGATAAACCAGGGAACAACACACTTTATAGACTTGACCTAGTTTTTGTTTGTGTGACATTCCACACAATAAGAATACCCATTCTTTTCTAGTGTAATGGCACATTTGCCAACACTGTATTATTCTGGATCAAAACAAGTTTCAACAAAATTAGAACGGGCCCTCCCTGGTGGCGCAGCGGGTTAAAGCACAGCAGTAATAAGCTAAAGCCACTTCTGCATGAGTTCGATCCCCGCATGCTCCGGAGGTGACCACATGGCACCTGCAGACCTCTCCTGACCCGCCCGCTGCTCCCCTCAGCATTGTACTTCGTGGATCTGCCTGTTCTGCTCCCCATTCTGTCTCTGGTGAATCCTCTCACCGCCCCTGCACCTCTGGCCTGTACCTCAGTTCTGTATGCACAAATAAATAAATCTTAAAAAAAAAAAAAAAAAAAGAAGGATTCAAGTATGTTCTCTGACCTGCATCAGGGATTCCCTGGGCTACCCTGTGACCAGTGATTCACTAGAAAGGCTCAAAACTAAGAAAGTTACTGAACTCATGATGATAGCTCATTACAACAAAAGCTATAGAATCGAATTAGTAGGTGAGGACAAGCTCAAGCTTTCATTGTCTTCTCCCAGTAGAATCATATGAACTGTACTTAATTCTCCCAGCAGCAATGTGGAACAGCACCATGTATTGTAAATACAACTAACTGGTATCAACAAGGCCCCATATCTATAAAGACATTCTTTTTTTTTTTTAAGATTTTATTTATTTATGCATACAGAACTGGGGTACAGGCTAGAGGTGCAGGGGCTGTGAGAGAATTCACCAGAGACAAAGTCAGGAGCAGAACAGGCAGATCCAAAAGTACACTGCTAAAAGGAGCAGTGGGCGGGTCAGGAGAGATCTGCTGCGCCATGTGGATCACCTCCAGGAGGGGGGATTGAACTCGTGCTGCAGAGGCTTTAGCTTCTGAGTGCTATGCTCCAACCTGCTGCACCACCAGGGAGGACCCTATAAAGACATCCTTATCAGGCAGGGCATTCTCAGGAGCTGGTCATGGACCAGTTATTTCTTTGGAATGTGCAGAGTTTGATTACCCCAAGTCTACTTAGCCCTTTACAACACATACCATAATGGAATTAATTTAGAAATCAATAACTGAAAGATTTTTGGAAAATCTTACAAGTATGTGAGAATTAAAACCACATTCTAAAGGAAAAACCAAAAGTTAAATTAGAAAGTATGGTGAATGGTTGATAAATGAAAGTAAGGCTACAACCTATCAAAATTTGTAGGATATTGTGAAAGCAGTATTTAAGGGGAAAAAATTTACATTAAATGCCTAGAGTAGGAAGCAAAAAGAGGTCTCATATACACTTTAGCTTGTGTATGTCCCAGCCCTGCACCCTCTCCTAGCAGAGTATCTTTTTTCTCCAGGTACCACAAAGCAGCTTAAATGTTTTCATAGCCCAAAGCTGAGAGCCAACCTGTGTTATTAGTAAGCTTTAAAGTCAGAAGATCTTCCTATTAAAGAGATTCCTGGGCCCTCCCTGGTGGTGCAGTGAGTTAAAACACAACACTGTGAAGCTATCCGCAGCCATTGCAGCATGAGTTTGAGTCCTGGCCAGGGAGCTGACCCACGTGGTATAGCAGACCTCTCTTGTCTCATTCACTGCTGCTCCCCTCAGGAGGGTATTTCTGTCAGTCTGCCTGTTCTGCTTCCCACTCTGTCTCTGATGAATCCACTTACCCACCGCACCTCTAGCCTGTACCCCAGTTCTTGTATGCATAAAAATAAATAAATCTCTTTTTTTTTTGTTTAAAGTCATTCCTGGGAGTCATTTGGTTAAGTGGACATTCTGGGACATAGGATGTTCTTTAGCTAGTATCATGCAGTGAGCCTAGATTTACCTTTAAAAACACATTTGTAAAACATACCTGCAAAACATATCTAAATGAGCAGCTCTGTTTGGTCTGAATGGGTTCACTGTGAAGTTCTGATCAGGTTCGCTAACTGATTGTCAAAGTCAGGTGGTGCTGTTTAGTTAAAGGCCTTTTTTCTCTGTGATTTATGGGTATGATGTCTTGGTGCTCCAATTCTGATGTTCTATTTTGTCTTTAAAGAGAGGAAAAGGAGTGTTTTTTTAGTTTGTGATATCTGGGACCATTTTCTGACCTAGCAAAACAATATTAAAAATAAAATTCCGTGGAAAAAAACTTACTCAGTGTTTGATTTTTTTTTTAGGACTTTGTTTAGAGAAGTTGCCTATTTCTTCTTCTACCAGTAATCTCCATGTGGACCGGGAACAGGATGTCATCACTTGTTACGAGAAAGCAGGGGACATTGCTCTCCTATACCTCCAAGAGATAGAACGGGTAAGTGAGGACCATGTTTTCACTGCAGTTGATAATTTTTCAATATTTCACATCAGTTCCTAGAGAACTGTGATCACCCTCTGCATCTGGGTGCAAAGCTCTACTTATGTTCTTTGGTGGTGGTAATGGCAGCACCTTGTAAAATGAAGGCTCAGTGTTTGGAAAGTTTAACATCTCTGAGTGGACGAGATGGTTTGCACCTGCTCATACATCCGGCTCCCTAAAGCTGGCTGACCATTGCTGTTCCTCTCTGAAAAATGGGTGGAACTTCACGTGTACTTGTGTGGACAATGAGCTGACATAGAGTATGGCTGTGAAAAAGGTCTGCTGGGGACCCTCAACCACCCTTCTTGTAGCTTGGAGCAGAGAAAATGAGCAAGAGGCCCTGGGATTGCACCCTGAGGCAGAGGAAATAGAAGCCCAGAGAGGGCATGGGAGGCGTGGACATCTGTCTGCTTCAAAAGGTTGTGGTCTTCTGGCTCTGTTTTTACTAAGTCCCTTCACTTTTCAACTTGATTTTCCCACCTGTAAAAGGAGCATAATAATAGACCTACTCACAGAGTCCTAGTGGGGTTTATTAAAGGTCATATAAATAAAGGCACTTAGCCCAGATTCAGGAGCACATTGACTCTTGGTAAATGCCACTTGTTTTTACTAATCACAACAGTTCCTTGTAATCTTTGCCCTAGCAGTGTTTCCTGGAGTTCTAGCCAAGGCTTGACTGATATTTCCCCTGCAGGCCCAGAGATGCAACCTGTAGGAGTGTTTGAAACAAATAAAATTCTGAGAGGAGAATTTAAAAATGATTAGAAATCTTGTTTCTTGTTCAATATTATGGCTTCTCTGTTCCCATGAGGATTAGGATGGAAAGGGACTACCAGAGTCTCGTTAGCATTTGTTATTTTATAGAGTGGAAGCAATTGCTTTCACAACTATTTTGTGTGTTGGGCATGACAAGGACCAGAACTGCCTTTCAGGAGGCACAGAGTAGGATGAGGGCCGCAGAGAAGAGGAGTGAGCATGATGGAGTGGAGGTTCTACAGCATGGGTTCTACAGCATGGGTTCTACAGCATGGTTTTTGATGTCTGGGAATTCAGGAAGATATTTGACAGGCTTGCCAAAATGTTGGCAAGAAAGTTGCCATGAGAAAGGACCTTTTTTGATCATTCAGAATTTATATGATCTTTGGAAAAATGATCATACAGTCTGCTTTTAAAGTTCCTATTATGGGCCCTCCCTGGTGGCGCAATGTGTTAAAGCACAGCATTAAGAAGCCCCTTCAGAATGAGTTCAATCCTTGCTCCGGAGGTGATCTACATGGCATGGCAGAACTCTCCTGGCCTGCCTGCTGCTCCCTTCAGCAGTGTACTTCGACAGTTGGCCTTTTCTGTACCCCACTCTGTCTCTGGTGAATCCTCTCACCCACCGCCCCGAACCTCTGGCCTATACCCTCATTCTCTATGCATAAATAAATAAATCTTAAAAAAAAAAGAAGTTTCCATTATTTTCACTGTGTTTCCTTGCTAGTTGGTGCTTAGCCATAGGGAAGTCTGCTTGCCCCAGCTAAGCTGTTCTAGTTGACCACGGAGCCCATGCCACTTTGGAGCTAAAGCTAGGGCTAGAACTCACCCATCCTGACACCTGTCAATGTTCGTTGGCCCCTTTATTATCCCAGCTGCTACAAACAAATACCAAATTGTAGTTTCCCACACCTTCAATGCAGAAAGTGCTCAGTAAGAACCTGACTGAGCAAGCATTGCTCTTAGTAGTGGGGGAAAGCAGTGCAGCCAGGGTTCTAACTCAAGGTTTGTAGGTGATGCTCAGATTCCTGACTCTGATTTTCCGGGGTGAGTTTTCCCTCTATAGAAGCCACTTGAGGCGTCCCCAGATCCTGCAAGATATTAACAATGAGAGAGATCGAATAAACCAAGCATCTCTTTGGTCGCTACTAGGTGCTCAAAAATTACCTGTTGACTGATGAAAAGTCCAGGATAAATGACCTTCTTCAGTGGTCACTGGGCCTAGTGGAAGCCCACTTTTATTATTTTTTTTAATAATAGTTTATTTTTACATCATTTTGTGCCTTTTTCCATCTCAGTTGTAACCCCGTGGGCTTCCCATCACCAAATCACCCATGTGCCATCACCATAGTCCCGTGCACTTCTCTCCCCACACCGTTTTTAATCCCACTCTCCACTCCACTCCTATAAAATGTCTCTGGTAGAGACATTTGGGGGTGGAGTGGGGAATGGGATCAAAAACAGGGGTTTGGGGAGGGAAGTGCACGGGACTATGGTGATGGCACATGGGTGATTTGGTGATGGGAAATCCACGTGGATTATAATTGAGATGAAAAATCGATCAAATACAATTTTGTTAGAAAAAAAAAAA